CTCCTCGGCCCATCCTTGGCCACTTTCGTTTGCCGCGCCCCGCTCGAAAAGCTTTGACGTGGCCTTTCAAATCCCTTGCATCCTTATCGTGCATCCTTGCTACACCGGTTGACCGTGAGCAAGAGTCGAGCCCTCTTGTCGGTATCGCCTCCAGGAGGGTTTTCTGGCGGCGCTAGGGATCCGACACTTCTTTTGTGCCGAGGCGCCACAAAAGGGTCCCAAGGAGGCGCCAATCAACTCCCGAGGGCGCCCCCTGAGGCCCTCGGACAGGCCAAGGGAGCACGAAGATGGCCCAAGAGGACGCCAAGACGGCCCCAAGGAGGCCCCAGGTATCTGAATTGAGAATGGTCAAGTGCCTCGCAGTAGGTGCTGGCAACACACTTTCGGCCAGGACATCTGCTTAAGGGAGTATCTGGCCCCCGACGCACGAGATAATTCCCTAATGACGGGGGGAGCTATCATGATGAATGCATGTTGCACATCGAGTTATTGGGTATGTCGGTCAAATGAATGGTGTTGGGTTGCCATGTCTGGCTTATATATATATATATATACATATCGATATGTAATTGGTCCCGCTCAGGTGCCCAGTGTGTTTATCAATTGAAGTGCCCCTTTCGGGGCTCGCACCCAGTGCATTATAACAGCACTTCCCGAGCCTCGTGCTGCATCCCTGGCCGCCGAAATACAACAACAACATCGGCTCCCGCTTAATATTTCTTCGTAATTGATTCACAATCGCGCTCTCGTATGGGAATCCCTGACGTTGTACTCCAGAGTTGCGCTCTCGCCTGGGACTGCTCGCAATTTACTAAGGCGCTGCGCATTCGACGCCCTGAAACGGCGCTCTCGCACGAGCCGTTCTCACAATTTGCTCAGGACTCGCGCTCTCGCCTGGGACTTCCTCTTTTCAATTTACAAAATTCGTTTCAGTGCCCCGCCCACCCGACCCGCCCGATAGGGTCCGCAGACCCGCCCGTCAGGGTCCGCCCGCCAGAGGCGCTCGTTAGGGTCCGCCCCTTCGCCTGCTCGGAGGCACGCCCGCCTCAATGTCCCGCCCGGCCTGCCCGTTAGGGTCCGCCCGCTTAGCCCGCCCGTTAGGGTCCGCCCGCCCAAACCCCCGCCCGTCAGGGCTGGCCCGCCCGACTTGCGGCGTCAGGGTCCTGCCGTTCCCGCGCTTGGAAGCCCGCCCGCCCACTTTGATGCCCCGCCCGCCCGACACGCCTGTCAGAGTCTGTCCGCCCGACCCGCCCGTTAGGGCCCGCCCGCCCGTCAGGGTCCGCTTGCCAGAATCATTGCTCGTCTGTTCTCCCCGTCCTGCTGCAGCCATCGTGCTACCACAATGAACGTCAAACAAGGAACGAATGGGGCCTGTTTGGACACGGCGAGCCTCGACTACGAACAGGTTCTCCGACATAGATTGAAAGAACGGCCCGGAAACCAGAGCCCCTCCTCAGCCCAAAGTGGTCCTTCATTCAGCGTCTTGACTGTACATCTCCTTCGCTCTTCATCCTCCTCCTTTCCATTTGCTCCCCTCAGCCCTCTCGTTTCCTCCTCGTTTCCTCGCTCTCTTCCTTTTCGTTTCCCAACCCCTTCCTCCCAGTGTTAGAGGCCGCGTCAAGTACATGTGGCAGCCAATGAAGACATATCCTTGAAACGGGCACGATCGAAGACGAATATGGCGGATATCGAGGTTTTGGGGTTTGCGTGTTGAGTGACACGCGAGCAGTTGAAAGCAAGCTGTTTTTATATGAGTGAAATTCAAATACTCAGCACCTGGTGTTGGACTCCCTCAATGCGATCTGGCGTTCTCGCCTCGGCGCTGGCTGCATTTCCTTTGGAAATTGAGGCTCACGCTCAAGCGTTTCGGGAGTGCGCCCGGACTGGCCCCCGCACACTTTGCTCCGAGAGGCCTTGGCCAGAGAGGGCCCGAAACTCAGCAAGGACGTTCTCGCTAGAGACTTTCTTGCGATTCAGTCCAGTTGGTGGAGACCCAACTTCGACGACAGCGGCTCCCTTTCGATACTTCCTTACAGTACTCTAAGAGGGGCCCTGGCCAGAGAGGCCTCCAAACTCAAGAGCGGCGTTCTCGCTCGAGGTTTTCGGTGGAGGCTCACCCACGACGACACGGGCTATACTTCTCCAGAGGGTGCGCCGAGAGGCCCTGGCCAGAGATGCCCCTCGCTGGAGACTTCCTTGCAAATCAGTCAAGTTGGTGGAGGCCCAACTGCGACGACAGCGGCTCCCGTTGGATACAGCCTCACAATTTGCTCAAGAGGCTTACGCAATTTCGCCGACCCCGGAGAAGAGGGATATCGTCCACGGAAGAGGCCTTTTGGGGCCTCTTGGGGATCCTTTGGGGGCCTCTTTTGGGCCTTTTGGGGGTCCTTTCGGGCCTCTTGGGAATTTCTTGGGCGCCTGCTGGCGGTCTCGGGGGTCCCCTTGGGGCGGAGGGCCCGGAATGTCGGTTCGAGTTGCCTCTCTTTTGCCCCTCTTGGGACCCTGTTGGGGCTCTCTTGGGCCATCTTGGGCGCCTCTTGGGTCGTCTTTGGAATCTCGTCGGCTGTCTTGGGGCCCTCTTGGGGATATTTTGGGCCGCCTTGACTCGATCATGGGGCCGCTTGAGCCGTCTAAGACTCTCTTGAGACCAAACGTGCGAATATGTTTAAGTTCCACGCTTTCCCCAGGAATTTTGACGATTCTTGCTTCCTGGGGCCCTCTCGGAAGTCGTCCTGGAGCCCTCTTTGGGCGTCTTTCAGGCCTCTTGGTCGTCTTCGAGGACTCCTGTGCGTGTTGGAACCCTGTTTGAGCAAGCGTAGATAAATTCTCAGGCATCTTAGAGACCACAGAGTATAGAAACGGAGACTCCGGAGGTCATGGAGGAGCGTTGGTGAGCTCGGAGACCTCCCCCCTCCCTCCCTCCCAGCCCTCCCCCCTCTTATCGGATTTCAGACGCCAGGGGAGGGGCGAAGGGGGATGGGGGACAGCTGATCATCTCACACGCCTTTGCACCCCTGGCAAGCGGGGGTCGGCGGTCTTCGAGAGGCCCTGGCCAGAGAGGGCCCTGAGGTCAGGAACGACAGTCGCGCAAGAGATTTCCTCGCTCCCGCTCGAAATTTCCTCACAGTGTATTCCGAGATGCCCTGGCCAGAGAGAGGCCCCCAAACTGAGGATCGGCGCTCTCGCTAGAGACTTCCTCGCACTTCAATCGAGTTGGTGGAGGCCAAACTGCGACAAGGGCTCCCGCTCGATGCTTCCTCAATGGGTCGTAGCCTCAGGGACGCGGAGCCACTGTACTTCCTCAGGTGGCGTGAATCCTGGGAGCGTCGAGGTTTTTCTGCCAGAGCGGGGACTGCTCAACCCAATCCAGCCTCGCATCAAGTGTTCCACGGGGGCATCATTCGAAGAAGAAAGAACCACATACACATACACTTTTGGCGCTCCGCGCGGATTTCTTGGCTCCGCGCCAGGCCCCCCCGGCGGCGCCTCTCGGCGCCGCCCCTGGCGCGCCCCGCGCAGATCCGAGGAATCCGCGCGGAGCGCCAAAAGTTTTTGTTCCTATCGTTTTTTCTTCTATCCACCGGGGAATCATACTGTTCTGCATGGCGGATTCCTTGCACGTTCTTGGTGCGCCGCGCGCGCGAACTTGTGCGCGGCGCGCGATGAGTGCGCCGGGCGGCGACAGGTGTGTGTGTGTGTGTGTGTGTGTGAGTGCACGTCTCGCCACGCATCGGGAAACATGTTGACCCCACCCACTATCCTTGTCAAAGCCAAGCCTGATGCAGTCGGGGTTGATTAGTAGGTCGACCCTGCCAAGGCAAGAGTACCCTTGTGTCCTGTGCTTCGCGACCAGTGCCTTCTACGTTCCTACGGCAATGTGGCCCTCGGCAGAGTCTTGTGTCCTCTCGCGTGTCCTCTTCAATCCACCCCGACTGTATACGATGTGTGCACCGGGAATCAGTCCGCCTTCGCTTGAGACAGGACAGTTGGCGAGCGCACTTCGGGCAGATGTGGTCGTATCACAGCCAGCCCTGTCAAATTCAGTACGAAGTGATCGTTGGGTGCGTGGTCACGATGCAGATTTTTGCCACAATGTGCACTTCGTAACTCGTATTCTGATTGGGATTTGGGGGTGCTCGTCGTCCATGGTTGGCAGCTGGTCGAGTGGGAGTGGGGGTTATTATTCAAATGAGCAGAGATTAATGTTCTCCCCGACGGGGAAGAAGGGGTTTGGAATACCACGCCCATAAAAGTAGCGGGATTCGTCATGCCTGGTGCCCGGTGCTGTTCTATCCCGTGGACGCTGACCAGGCGCGCCCCTCTTGGGCCACCCCGTGTCCACCTCCGCGCGGCAGAGCGTGCAGCATCCTCGTCGTTGGGCCCGCAGCCGTGGCCGCTCCCGCTCCGAGGCCCCGGCCGCGCCCCGGCCTCCGCCGCTGCCGTCGGCCATGGCCTGGGCCCGGCGGGCCTCGAAGGGCCTCGCGGGTGCCGGCGCCGCGGCCGTGGTGCCCGCCCTGGACGTGTGGTGGGGCGACGTGCCCCCCGGGCGCGCGCGGGCGGACGGCCTGGTGGACTCCTACTGGCCCACGGCCTGCAGGGAGCCGCTCCTCGCGCGGAGGGCGCTGGGCGCCGCCAGGGCGGAGGCCCGCGTGTGCGTCGTCGGCGGCGGCATGGCCGGTCTGCACACGGCCCTGGGGCTCGCGGAGCGCGGGGTGCCCTGCGTGGTGCTGGAGGCCCAGCGCGTGGGCTGGGGGGCCAGCGGCCTCTCCAAGGGCGAGGTGGTGGCCGGCCTGCAGGTGGAGGGGGAGGATCTGTCCCGCCGCATCGGCGAGCAGGCCTCCGCGGAGCTGGAGTCGCTCACCCGGGCCGCCCAGGAGGAGCTGCTGCAGCGCATCGAGAGGCACAGCATCCAGTGCGACGCCCGCGCCCAGGGGACCGTCGTGATATCTGTCGTCGGTGCCGAGGGCGGCTGCGGGGAGGGCGAGGAGGAGGGGCTCCAGAGCTGGGATCGGGCGAAGGCGCAGCGGGTGGTGGGCTCGCCGCTTGCACGGGGCGGCCAGTTCGACTCCAGCGTTTGGGCCGTGAACCCGCTGGCGCTGACTCTGGGGCTAGCCCGGGCAGCGGAGAGCTGTGGCGCGCGAGTGTTCGAGGGGACAGAAGCCACGGGGCTGGAGCAAGGCGCAGACGGGAGGTGGACCGTGGCGACGGCGGGGGGTGGCGCGGTGGTGTGCGACGAGGTGGTCCTCTGTGGCTCAGCGCACCTACGCCATGGCCTCTCGCGCCGCTTGGCGGTCGCCACGGTGCCTGTCTTTACGTGGATGGTGGCCACGGAGCCGCTCAACTCCGCGCAGCGTAAATCCATCAACGGGGGCTGCCTAGAGGATACGCCGACGGTATGTAACGACCTGGTGTCCCTCAACTATTGGCGATTCATGCCAGATGGAAGGCTACTCTTCGGGGGCTTGGCCCATGCGTTCCCGCTATCCCTCGAACGCGTGGAGAGTAAGCTTCGTGGCCAGATGGAGGAACACTACCCCCAGTTGAAGGGCATTGGGATCGAGCACGTCTGGGGCGGAACGCTGTCGTTCGCGATGCACGCCTGCCCGATCGTCGGCCGCGATGGCGCGACTGGCCCCTGGTTCGCCGCGGGCTTCGGCGGCCATGGCATCGTACCGACGTGCATGGCCGGCGAGCTCATCGCTAGCGGAATCGCCGAGGGGGACGAGCGCTGGAGGCTGCTGCAGCAGACCCTCCCGCCGTCCTTCGTGTTCTGGCCGTTCTCCAGGCTCGGGGCGGAGCCCAGGGGCGACGATGGGGGGATAGGCATATGGGGGGGATGCATCGACCCCCAATCGCTCATTGATCGCCGATAGGGGCCCGATGGTCCCAACCTGCCCAGGAACGTGCGGATCCACTGTCGGGGGTCCTCTGCCGATCTATCGGCGATGCATCGCCGATTCCAGGTCGATGTTTCCCCCCCTGTGCCAGTCCCCCCTATCGTTGCCCCTCAGGAGCTGGTGTTGCGCTTCTTCCAGGCGCTGGACCGCCTCCGGCTGGCGGGGGCCCCGCTGCCGGAGTGGCTGCTGCCCCAGAGGCCGTGGTGAGCGGCGAGGGCGGCCCGCGAGTGCTCCCGCACCGCGCAGCGCTGCCGCCTCGCGCTCGCGCCCCCCGGGCCTCCAGCCTCTATCCCTAGCCCCCCTCGGGCGCCATCGTCGATGATTCTTGGGACGTGTGTTAGCCCTACCCCGCTGCTTGGGCGCAGCTGCATGCACCTCTTCGGCACGTCCCGCGCCTGCCTTCACGGTCTGATCGGGCCTTCGTCTTCTTCTTCTCGCTTTCTTTTATGTTTCGCTTTCGTTCTTTTATTCGCTTCCTGTGCAGCCCACCGCTCGCTTTGACCAGCGCCTGACCGTCTCACCCACCCTGGCGCCCGCGGATCTAGAAAGTGTTAGCCTAATGTGTGTTGTTTACCCCTCTCAGCTCCACCGGCAGCGCGCAGCCTATGCTCGGGATACAAGACGCGGCATGAACGTAAGCTTTCGGAGTTCCGCGCGGATTTTTCGGATCGGCGCTGGACATCTCTCCCTGGCATGCGGAGCGCGCCAGGGGCCGCCCCGCAGGCGAGAAATCAGCGCGGACCTCTGACAGTTCGTGTCTTCGCCATTGCTTGTTGTTCCCCTGCGTGTCGGGCCTCGCCGCGCCTCCCTAGCCCGTCTTTGAAGGGCTTCGGTGGGCAAGCACACCCTGGCCCTAACGCACGTTCTGGGGATCATCGGCGCGGTGTTCCCAGGGGGCAGCGTTCCACATTCAGCGTTCCCCTATGGTGGCACGATGGCTGTACTGACGGGAGGGCGGGTGGTCGGCCTTCGGGGGGGCCCCTCGTCGCCACGGCGGAGCGCAGCTCGGAATACTGATGCGTGTGGACCCCGGGGACGGAGATGGGGAGGAGGAAGAGGAGGAAGAGGACGAGGAGGAGGAGGAAGAGGGGGAGGACGATGATGATGATGGGGAGGAAGAAGAGGAGGAAGAGGACGAGGAGGAGGAGGAGGGGGAGGAGGAGGAGGGGGAGGAGGAGGAGTAGGAGGAGGGGGATGAAGAGAAGGTGGAGGTGGAGGGGGAAGGGGGAGGAGGAGGAGGAGTCATAATAATATTAGGAAGAATGCGACGGGAACAGTCGGTAATAAGGAGAAAGCGGTGAAGAAACATCGTACGAATGCAAGTGACATGAATTAGAGGACTAGTATCATTGCCAGTAAGATTTTCAAAGCGAATAGGGTTCAGCATACTGATATGAATAATAATGATATAATTCATACTGAGAAGCATAAGTATTATTGATCACATTAATGCGAATGCAAATAATAATACTGATACGAATGATGCTGGGAATTCGAGTAGGACTGCGAACCCTATTGATACGGATAAGACTCATATGACTAATCCTAGGAAAAGGAACGGCCTATAAATCCTAGTCATGGAACGGATGATATTAGGGGGACA